AGTCTTATTTTTGTCTCCAACTCCCTACTCATCTGGGAGCTACAGATCTCGTAAGCTCCTTTATTCCGAGGCTCTCAGAAGCATTTGGTGTCATTGCAGTCACGCTTCTTTCTCTTTCGTCAGCTTTTTATCCCTAACCTGTAACACGGGGGAAAAAAAATTGCTTTTGCTCAGTTCCCTTAGCTTTTTGGATCACAGAAATCATCATTGCTGCAGACTCTAGGAAGAGCCTGCCGGCTGTGCCTATTAGTCCATCAGCCTAGAAAATAAACCTGCAATGGCCAACTGCAAGTAGTAGATGAACTCTTGGCTATGTAGCAGAAACCACTGTGGGTTATGAGGACTTACTGAATGTACTGAAGGTTGCGAAATAAACAGGTTTGACAGCTGCTCCTCCAAATTGGGCAGTTCTTGTCTCAGTTCAAGAATCTCTGTACAAGAACACAAAATTGTCTAATCCAAGCTAAGCAAAAAGCCTCTGAATGTTTCTAGAAGCATCTTTGATTTAAAAATCTAGCTGTCTTTCTGTAAGCTTTCTCGTGTGTGTGTTTTCTGTTGGTTTTTAATGTTCCCTCGCCATAAATCAAGAGTCATTCCATTTCTGTAAGTAAATTTCCCTCTGACATCAGAATTGAGGAACAAGTGAAAACACATCTTTTTTGCTGATTCTTTCCATTCCATTTGTTTGTGGTTCAGGTCTTGGCTATATGTTGAAGGCTGTGTGATTATTTTTTAATCTAAACTGTTTTTTCCATAGTAGAGAGGATCATTTGTTTTGCATGTTACTTTAAATAACAGAAACATCGGTTATAAAAGCTGAAGAAGAGGGGCTTAGAGATTCTAAATATTTGATAGTGTTTAATAAGTGTATCTACTCAAAATAGCCTTTGTAAAGAAGCATAGTAACTAATTCTGTAATAGTCCTAGTCAACAGCAAAAGCCATAAAGATTTTTTTTTTTCTGAAATGATTAATGGCTGTGTATCTGAAGTCCTGCAAATTTTTGATATGCTCAGCAGAATCTAAAAATCTTAAAAGAAAGAATGTCTTGTACTCCTGCTTGTGAAAATAGCTCTTCCTTTATTCTGGTTTGTCTGCTCTCTTGCCAGCCAAGCTAGAAAAGTAAATAGCACCATCAAACTATGCTGATGTTGTGAGCCATTTTCATCCGTTCAGTGTCCAAGAGGCTTGATTCCTTATCTGCCATCATCCCTTCATGAAGTGTATGTGTGCATGCGTGGGGAATGCAGGATTGGGCACAAATCTTGTACCCTTTGAAGACACTTTGTCCAAAACAAACACTCAGTTCCAGTAAGCGTAATTTAGTTGATAAATATCTAACATTTTCTGGAGAGGAACCTCTGCTTGTTTTCTGCAACGTACCAAAAGCATTCTTAGTACGATCCTGATCCTGAAGTCCTTGAACACTGACATGAGGGCATGTAGTGCTATTTGTGCATTGATGGTGCCAAACCATCTAGATGCTTTATTACTTGCTTTCCTCAAAAATGTGGCGTTGTTCTAGACTGCTTAGAGACTGAGTCATTTGTTTAATATTTCATGGGGATGAAAGAGAAGAACAAGACAGATCAAACCAGTGTCCATGGAAATGAAAATGAGCATACTGATGTTTATTATCCTGGTGTGGAAGACCAGGAGACTTTATTGTTCCTGGAGGTGTTGTAATGTCACCAACAAAAGCAATCACTAATAGTCTTCCCCTGTCGTCCATGCATGTGTAACTCCCTGGGCATTTTCTATTGATATCTTCATCTAGATTACCTTTTCTCAGGATACAAACTTAAATCCAAAAGGTAATGAAAGATTTTAGTGAATGTGTGAAATAGAACACAGACCACAGAGGCCGTACAGCCTCGGTGTGAAGGGGAGAATTGGCAATATCACACTTTGAGTGTTTGTTTAGACCTCATGTGAACCTGTCGTCTTCAGACATACTCAGTTTTGAACAAATGTATAGACCTGATTTTTAAGCATGAACATTTGTCATCATTAGTTTATATACGTAGCATGTATGCATACACATATGCATATTAAAAATCACTGATTTAAGGCTCCTAATTTAAGAAAACACGTGGCCACCTGTTTTGGCCGTGATTTGAAGGGGAGTTAAGCAGGTGTTTTGGTGCTGTGCTCATTTGGGGAAAGCCATGTATGATGTGTTGGCCAATAAAAGACGCACCGAATGATGTCCTGCTTCTGTAGTCAGACTGTCCTTACGCTAAGGCAAATGGAGAAGAGTTGGACTTGCAAAGAAATGAAAGGATTACCTGAACTGATGTGGTCTATGTGCCATGAGGGAGCTCTGTAATGCCAGCTGTGGTGTTGGGGTGTCCCACTGTGCTGCCCAGGATGTCTGGCTGTTCCATGGGTTGGGTACCTTTGGTGAAGTCACATAAATTGCCGCATATCTTTTAAAAAAGAAAAAAAAAAAGAAAAAAAAAGGAAAAAAAAGTCATGTTGTGCGTTTAAATTTTACAGTGTGAGATAAATTTTTTTCCAAGTCATGTTTTGGAATCTTTATTTCAAGACATGAAATAATTTATTAAATCCACCTTTATTGAAATCTGCCTTCCTGGTGTTTGCATATGCTCTGACTTTAGCAATCTGCAGTGAAAACAAAAGGAATTAGTTTGAGAGGGATTCGGGAGATGGCTTTTTTCCTTCCTCAAGAATCGGATGGAAACGTGTGACCAAACATGTTTGCCACTGCTGGGAAAGCGGTTGCAGTTTGTGGGGGCAAGAATGACAGACCTGGTGGGAAGTAAGCTTGGGATCTAACTGTGTATATTAAATCTGTCCGGAGACGGAGAGGAGGCAGGATTTGGACAGAGTCCAGGTCTGCCCTTGACTTGTCCCATATAACGCCTTTTGAATTCAGAAGGAATTATCTATGAATAAATATAAGGGTGGATGTGCATGAGTGAGTGAGAATGTGATCACCTGATGTGGGATTCCCACAGTGAGGTGTTGACTCATCTTTTTTTGTATGGAAAGCTATTTTCCAGCCTTAGAAATACTGGTTCCAGTTTGGGAAGGCATTGAAGCACTTGTACAAAGTGCTTTTCCAAGGAGGGATTTTTTCCATAGTCAAGTCCTGTGTAAACTTGAAATGTCTTTGATTTAGGGAAGGGGGGTGGGGTGGGGGGGGGAAGTGAAGTAGTTTCGGGTGCTACTGTCTGTGCATGATATCTTGCACATGAAGACCCTGTTCTGTTGGTCCTTAGGCAATACCATGATAAAAAAAACCACAATACAAACACCTGCACTTGGATCCACCTGCCAAGTTCTGTAGCTTTACACTCCCTTTTCTATAACTTAAGAATAGGGCAGAGGAGGCAGGTTTTTTTGCTGCACTTTGGCTGCTGTGTTGAGAGAGACACATAAACAGCACGAGCTGCCAAAATGAAGGAGACGGTGAAACTGTCCTTATATACTGGGCTGTTGCATGCACAGACAGGTTGGGGGAGGAAGGAAAAAACCCTTTCCCTGCCTTGCCTTCTCTCTTGCATTTAGTGTTGCTTCTCCCATAGCGGTGAGCTAAATTATTTTCATAAAGAAGCATACTTCTTGAGTTGATGTCCCAGTAACTTCTGAATTTCAGGCCTAGTGTGCTAAAAGGTTTGATCTTTCCCTTCCCAGATAAATTGTATTTAAACGTGCTTGGTTTTCTAACTAAAGGAATTCTGGAGCATGAAAATGTCCAAGTAAATTCAAGGTTTGCTCTTTAACATTGGCAGCTGCTGTGCAAGATGCACTTTGAAACTGTAGTTCTACTTGTGTTAACAAAAAAATTGCTCTGATTTTTTTTTTTAATTGTAAGATACAATTGCATTTGTTTTGCACTTTCTAATCTTGAAAACAGAAGCTGGGTAAAACTGGTTGGCTCTAGCCAGCTCTGCCTCTGTAAGTACTGGAACCAGTTTAGTTGGGGGTGGGTCAGCAGAGCGCAAGTTTTGTTTGAGATCCTTCGCAACCATGTCAGTATTGCTACTCTTAACTTGCGTAGCTTTTGTGCTGGGTTTGTGAAGGTACAATACAGCTTAGCCCTTAATGTACAACTGTTTTGGCTTCAATATAGTAAAGCTATAAATAGACACCCCCTTGCCTCCCCAGCAGTAGGAAATGACTGCAGCAGGTGGTGTCCTCTGCTAGAAATTTGCACATTATTAGTACCCAAGTACTTTTTTTAAAATTGGCTTTCTTGTTGTGTGTTCTTGCTTCATTAAATGCCAACTGACTGGTCAGCAAGCATCTTGTTAAAATCTGAAGTCTTCATTAAGACAAAAGAAATAAAACCAGAAGGGTATTTTTGGTTTATTTCTGTGCAGCCTCTGTGTAAAGTATATTTTGTGTGCAGTTTTAAAAGTATTAACAGAAGGCACAGGAGAGCTGCATAATGCTGGTCACTGGTTAAAATGGTATTTTGATTCTTTTAGCTGTGTTGGGCTGGAGTTTAGCACACGTTTATTATAGCAGTTCCTCCATAGTAGTACTGGTAGATGCTTGGAAGGCTGTGGGCAAGATTTGTATCCCTGCTTGTGCTGAATAATACCTTGCACTGTGAATGGCATCAAGAAAATAAACGGGGCTTTTTGTGCAGCAAGGTAGTGCTTAGAGTAAATAAGGATATTGCAGTCTGGTCCACGCTAAATGAGTTCGATGGTGTCAATAAACAAGCTTCCCCTTGACACAAACCCCATCATTGTGTTTGGATTAACTTTCAGTCTCAGCAAAGAGGCCGAGTTGTTTGGGCAGGGAGAATAAATGCATTTGTGCTGCTGAGATTGTTTCCTTTCAGCCGTGGTGGAGAGCCCTTGCCTCCTTGCCACTGTTGGGTGCTGAAGAAATAGCGAAATCAAGGGGAGATGCACTGTGTACTTATAGTGTGTGTGTTTAAACAACAAAAAAAGGGGGACAATCCTGTGTCTCAGTTACTGTTTAACATGCATCTGCCTTTATACCCCTTCCTTTCTCCCACAGATGCGAGAGCTGTGTGGAACTACTGTTTGTGAGAGGGGCTGGGAATTGCCAGGAGTGCGATACCCCCCTGCGGAAGAGTAACTTCAGGGTACAGCTCTTTGAGGACCCTGCCGTTGACAAGGAAGTGGAAATTCGGAAGAAAGTGCTGAAAATGTGAGTGTCACCAGTTAAATAACAAAAGGTGGATGTATTTCATGGATCACCATTTAAAAAAAAAACTTATTCCGCCAGTAGTATGGAGGAGAGAATTTATTTTTTTTAAAGTGACAACCCATAAAACTTGACTCCGTTTAACGTGGAGGGATTTCAGAGAATCTGATTTTATGCAACAACTGAGGGCTGAATTCTCAGTTAAGCCTTGAGGGATTCCTGCTTAGCATTAGAAAATGTTGGGTGTTTCTATGTGGCCTCCTTTGGCAAAGACTTGCCTCCTAAATGGAGACGATGAGATATTGAGGACTACAGCTGCTTTCCCTTTGAGGGGGTGAACATGGGAGTGGGCCAAGAAACAGGACCTTGATTGTTTTGTTCCCTGGGGACCAGTTCTGAGAGTTGAAGGCCAGATCCCTTCAAAATGAAAATGGACAAAAGAGAAGCTATGTTCACATTGTTTTCTACTTCACACAGCAATTGTTAGTGAAAATGCTTCCTCACAAGCTTTGTGTTACTAGTCTGTCATGCAGATTTGAGAGCTCTTGGAATTGAGATGAATGAGGTCTAAAATTGCATCTCACTCCTTGTGGCCAAGAAACAACATTTTATAAGGAAAATAAGCAAGCCAGTTGATATTTTGGTAGAAGAGGGTCTGATGGAATGTAACAAACCTGGAGAGAGTTGTGTGTGCAAAAACGAACGTACAGGTGAATTGTAAGCCTGGTAGCTTTTATCTAAGACTTAGTACAATACTGAATGAATCATATGATGTTGCTGAGATGTGGGGAAATTGCGTCGTTGAATACCAAAGTGCTGATGTGGAAAGTAGTAATAATTTTGATGTTTGATTATAAAGCCTACGGAAGTTAACAAAAGTCAAACTGGAATGAAGTCAACTTAATTGACTAAACACGGAATGAAGTGTAGTTAGAACAGAAAACATTGTAAAATGCTTGGCCCACTTGGATTTGCCAGATTAGTTTTTGGTAGGCAGAAAAAATGTCCCCAAATTGGAATTTGGCCTGAGTTCTCGGGATTAGATTTTTATACTCCTGGGTGTCATGTATCTTGGTCCACAGAGCAGGCAGAATCTCAGCTTTGTATTTTCTTGGGAAGAAAGCCTGCATGTCTTGACTTTCAGAGGCTGTCCATGTTCTAGCCAGTTGTCTCTTCATCTCTTTACTTTTTCCAGCTATCAAGGGTTGGATAAGTGAGTTCTGGAATGGTCTATTGATATGAAATAAGATAATTGTGTGGCATTTTCAGTTTGCTGCTGACATATGCTTTCTGTTGTTGGCACAAAGCCAAACTCCCTTTTCTGATAACTTCTAGAAAAGCTTTTCTTGTGGGTGTTACTGTTGTCTCTGCCTGTATTAACAGGTTTCTCATGCTGAAGAGCTGGCTTGGAATTAGTATATCCTAGCCTCTGTGCTGCTGTTTACCTGTTACCCTGGAAAACGAAATGGCAAACAGTAGGCAAAGATAGCACCAATTTATGCCAGGCTGGCTCCTTTCCTTTGAAACAAGCGCTTCTGTCTCCTTTTAAAGATTCTGTACGTTGGGTCAGTTGTGAGAGCTGCAAAGCACGTAGTTGATAAAACTATGTCAATACTTAATATGCTTGCAGCAAGAGCCTTGTTGAATTGAAATTGTATCTTTGTGTGTTATACAAATACTTGTTTTTCTTCTCTCAAAGATACAATAAAAGAGAGGATGACTTTCCCAGTCTAAGTGAATATAATGATTTCCTGGAAGAAATAGAAGAAATTGGTAAGTCTTAATGCTTGCTTTTTTGATGTGCTGTGCTCATGAGCCCATAGGCTTTTATCTTCTGACTCAGCTGCCTATGAGAATGTCTAAGTTGAGTTTCTGTAATAGGATTTATCATAGTATCAGATGTTTATCTAATTACTTTTTTCTGTACGTTTTTAATCATATTTGCTGAACTGTAGGACATCGTTAAGTAAAACATTTTATCTGTCAGAGGAAAAACATGATTCAAAGAGGAAGTGGTACTTTATAGCTGAAAAAAAAGACTTGCAGGGGATTGTTGGTGCTGCACTGGGAAAGATTAAACAAAGAGAGGAGAAATTGAAATTTTCATTATATGCCTCCATTAGCTTTATCTACCATGACAGAAGCCATATGGTGTCTTTCATCATTTTTGCTTCTGCAAGTACAGTAGTTGAAGCTGCTTTGAAGCTGATGACCTTACATACCACTGTGGTAGCATTTTATGTTGCTTTGCAGAAGGAGGTGGTTTAGGAACAGACATTGATTTCTTTCTCTTTGGATTAGTTGAAGCAGAACTTTGCCCTTTGGGAAGGGACTATGTTATCAACAGAGTTTATTTTCTTCTTAGTTAGGGTGACTTGTGATTTATGGTGGAGTGATGGATTTTGCTTAGAAAAACAAGGATGTGTTCAAAGGAGTGACTCTTAAGTGGTTTGTTTCTTGGGTTTTATGAGCTTCTGAGGCTTTTCATTTTTTGTCCTGGAGGAAGAAGAGATGGGTTAGAACATGCAGGAGGGGCAGTGAATGTGATTTGAAGGAAAACATGGAGATGCTACTTCCCTTCGGTTTCTCAAAGGAGCCCTTGCTCCTCTTTGCACTATGGTGTTTTGTAGAAATGTATCCAGTACACTTACTGCTGTGAGTAATGTATCGTGTTTTTGTTGGCATTAGAAGGCTGAGGCTGGAGAGCTAAATCGCGTGGCTGGGAAACACCAGGCACACTCATACGGGTCCAGATATTTGGAGGAGACGATGTGGGTGTAGTTCTGTTTGTATATTTTTTTGAATGGTGCAGGGGAAGGAGGGAATGAGTAGAAAGAATGGTTGCATCTTAGCCAGAGGATCCTGGAAGAATCTGTGTGCTTGTGGAAAGGAAAACTTGCTTTTTATTTTTGTAGCATTAAATACAGGTTTCCTACACTGCTGTTACAGGGGTTTTCGGCATCTGCAACAAGGGAGTTGAAGTTTTGCCTGAAGTTGCCTGAATCTCATCAATTTCTGCAGAATGTTATGATTCTCCAGCTCTTGGGATTAGGTTGTTAAATTTCAAATGGTTCCAGAGCCTGCACTGGTAACTTGGTTTAGAAGCAGCAGAGTTCATGGCTGGTCTTCATAACCTTGTGAAGAAGAGTGAATTTGTCTGTAATTGTGCTGGTCCTGCAAATGTATAACGTGGATGCTCAATAGATAGAGTTGTTTAGGAATTGGAGTTATTTGCCCAAAAGGGACACCTAAAATACTAAAAGGAATAGAAAGTACGACTACCTCCTAATTTCTTCGTGTAGCAGCCAGGGTGAGGAGAGGGAAGAAGGGGTGCAGTCAGAAGGCTCTTAATTTTCACCGTCGAAGGGGTTATTTATGATCTTCTAACTTAAGGCAGATCCAGAAGCTGGAGGGCTGGTTAGATTCAAGAGCAACAGCTTGGGTAAGAATTCAAGCCCAGTTCTCCTTTCCCTGGTGACAAAGCTCCTTGCACATATCTTGCTTTCAAACTTAGTAGATTGTTCCTGTCTCCCCAAGCCCTTCCCTGCCAGCACTCCTGAGCAGAGTTCTCCACCTGACAGTTGTCTGGTATGTAGCGGTAGTGTGAATTCTTCCAGTGTTTTTGCTGTGCATGTTGTGTGTGGCATGGCTGAACAATGTGTTAAAGGTGTCTTCAGCTCTGGTTACTTCACATTTTGCTGCTGAGAGTAGTTATTTCATTTTTTTGTGTGCATGTGAATTCCCTGTTCGCTTGTGCATGTGGAAAAACTAGGCTGCAAGAAGGGAAAGAAAGGGTGTAGTCATGCAGAGCAAAGTTTTTTGCCTTGTGGGGCCAATGTACAGCAGGCTGGCAGTAGCTCGTGGTGGTTGTTCAAGCTGCCAGGTTAGGAAGCTAGGGAGCCCGAGAGCTGGATTTCCCCTTTCTCCCACTGCCCCACATTTTCAGTTTTTCTGTGGGAAGGTCACAGTGCAGCTTTACCCTGTTTTCTTTTTGCTGGTAAGTTTAGTTTTCTAAGTTGTTGGGAGGGATTAAATGAAGTAGTTGCTTGGCAGAGACAAAACGTAAACATCCTGTATAAGCATACTTCATGTGACCCTGGCACAATTCTGATAGTTTTTCCAAATGTTTCAGGTAGGTCAGCTCCAACATTTGCAGCAATTGCACTGTCTTATTCCATTGGTGTGATATATGACCCCACTTGAAACACATTTTCCCCCTTCATATCAGGATTGTTATACCTACAGACTTTTTCTATTTAAAGAAAAGAGTTGGGCGGCACAGCAGAAGTGTGAGAGGGGAAGGTCAAACAAACATTAGGGTAGTCACCTTTTAAGATTTCTTTTATAAAAAACACATTTTTGAAGTGGTTTAGATTGTAGCCACGAAATAATGCTTTGGGCTAAAATGTGTTATACAAGGCTCTAAATAGAAACCACATTTTAAAGCAAGTTTTCCCCAGAAGAAAAATCAGTTGGACAATTTGAGAACATTGTAAACACAGTTTGTTGTCATTAACACTAGGAAGAAAAATAAAGTGAAAGGGTTAAAACCTGCCTTTGGGAAATGTGTGGACAACATCTATCGGAGTAAGTCAGGTCGATGCCCATATGATGAGAGGGGCAAGGTTAAAGCTTAGGATGTTGTTATAAGTTTACAATCTCTGGACATCATGCAAATGTTGCTCGCTCTTTCTACAAGGTTTTCTTCTTTCCCCAAGATTTTCTTCTTCCCCAGAGTCTGTCTGTAGCTAGTTTTTCAAAACCTGGTGTGTAAGCTCTCCAGAGCAGGGCCCGCCTCCTAGCATGTGTATACACACTGCCTGGCACCATTCTCCTGATACCTGAATTGAGGCCTCTAGGCATTACCGCAACACAATTGTTAGTAGTAATTATTGCTTTTAAAAAACATCCAGTACATTCAACTTGGAAGGAGACTACTTGTATTTGTGCCCTTTGGATTCCTGTATCTCGTTACTCCTCTAAGACTTTATGCAATACCAGCTGCCTAGTGACTTGTCTTGCTCAGAACGTTTATCTCACAAGTGATCTTTGGATAGAAAGGATTTTGGTATCTACGATCACTCGTGGGTTCTGTTGTTTATTATTTTGTGGTTTTTTCCCTCTCTGTGTGTGCATGAGGATGGTATTGCTGGTCCTGACAATGGGAATAACCCAACTGGAAACTGGGCTGCTTTATCAAAGATCCATTTCAGTCATCTCATCTGAACAAAGATTTCGGTACCACACTGTTCCAGCCACAATGATCTTTCTTAGGCCGATGGGGCTGAGTGATTTCAATCACTTATTACTATGCTAAGGTATTTTTCTGGAAAATTATTGTCCCAATAAAAGACAACTGAGGATAAACAGAAATAATTATTAATACCTAACTAGATTTTTCTGGCTTAGCTGTGGGTTTCTTTTGTTCCTGGTAATTATTTTGTTACAATCACAGAAATGTTGGTTGGAAGGGACCTGTTAAGTTCTGTTTCATCTTTTCTCCCCCTCACCCCACTCCTACCCCTCTTAAAAGTACAGGGGCAGAGATTGGCCCAGGCATCGAAAGCACCAACAGAAGGTGCTGCAGTAGCTTTGGACTCCCCGGCCAGACTGAGGATGTGGTTGTGTCTCCGTTCATAGCGCTCTGCCCCAAGCAGTTGCTCTCCTGCCATTCCTGGTCTCTAGCTGGTGATTTATGAAGATGATGATCAAGGAGTTGTTTGTAGCAGGGTAGGAGGAATATTGTTTATAACAAACTAATACTTACTAATTTAAAAATTTTCAGCGGGCTTATATCAGCAATGCAGATCAAACACTGTCATCAGAGTAATCATCTCCTGTCTTGCCAGAGAGGGAGTGTTCCTAATAGTTGAATAGCAAATATTTTTACGTGGTAACATTATTGTCTCTTAAGGAACTAGGAGGAGAAGTCTCAGAAAATTTGCAGTATCTCAGACTAAACCAGGGAGATTTTGATGGACTTGAAGTCCTGCAGTGGAGTGACATTCATTCATACCGCTGTGACTCTGGACAAGTTATTGTGCCATATAATTAAAATTTTTGTCTCATTTTCTTTTTTCTTTTATAACTAAGAAAATATTTTTCCATTTGTTGTAGAATTGCATAATGAATGTTGTTGTTTTGAAAAGCAGCAAAAGTTTCCCTGTAAAGTCTGAATTTCAGAAGTAGGGAGTTTTACCTAAATAGAATGAAATGTTTCAGAAAAACACAATAGTCTTCCTGTTATACCTCAACAGATGTCTCAAGGCAAGTCATTTTATAAACCAACCAATGTGAGATGGATAAGTAGATAAATAATTGTTGCATACAAAACAGCTTCTGTTTCTTTTCCCTGAAGGGTTTTAGGCCTCTTATATCGGCTTATGCTATATTTCAACACGGACAAAAATAAGTCTGGCTTCTCTTTGAAACCTTTTCAAACTAGCCATCTGCTTTGCCAGTCATATTCAGATCTGTACCAATACTTTTTTCAGGGTAGGTGTAGCATATGATTTAGATTTTTTTTTTTAACTCTTTCTGGTTCTTCTAGTTTTATAATTTGTTTTGTTGTATTTTTTAAAAAGGGAACATTTGCAAGAATTATATTTAAAATAAATTTCTGGCAAAACTCAAAGCAGACCAAATGAAAAAAAAATACTGCATAGTCCTAGCTATGTAAAAAGTAAGATGTTGAGTATTAGTAGTGACTGTTCTTTGATTTGATACGTGTTGGTTTTTAAATGCCATGTAACTTGTGGAGGGGACAAGGGAGAAGAGAAAGAAATAATCTCTTAATTATTTTTTTGTGGCCTAGTGCCCCTTATGAAATGGACTTGTCAGCTGAATTTGTATTCTCTCAATATTGATGAAAAGACATTTGAAGCTCGTGAAAAATATGTTGGAAGATGTTTTGGCTGGCTGGTTGGCCACTGATAACCATGGAATGTCAAAAAGCATCGTTTGTTTTGCTGCTAGGGTGTTTATTGCAGGAGGGAGGATACTCTTTTCATTTATTAAAGGACAACTGTTGACACTGATGTTGATATAGAGACATCCAGGTCTTAACACTTGCAACAAAATGTAGCTCTTCAGAATTTTAAGTCTCGAAATGTGGACAACTTAGTGTTGAGGGACAGATGCTTAGGACCAAGATAATGTTCCTCTTCAATGACTATGAATCAATATTCAGTGGGAGAAATCTGCTCTGGCCTTTGAGGGTGCTGGAAGTATGAATCTTTCTGATCGCTGGCGTCCTACCATATCCTCAAGTGACAGAGTAGAGCAAGACTGACAGAGCAGAATCAGCATGGTATGAGCAGATCTGACTGTTGAGAGGGTTTTACCTGTGGTTTGGTTCCAGCCACAGCAGGAAAACAGAAGGGGAAATAAACCATCTTTCACCTTGCTGCAAGCAGAGCAGTGGGCGTTTAAGGTGGCTATGCAGGTGGATATTGAAGATTTCTTAAACATTAATGCAGAAACATCTCTCTTACATGGAAATGTTACTTGATATCAAGTAGAAAAATGAACCCACTTTTTTTAAGTAGTTCTAAATAAAGGCAGGCATCTGCATATGTCTAAAATTTGCCTACTTGCCCCAGTATGAGTTTTAAATCTTACGGTTTTTGTTTTACAAGTCTAGGTTGTGACTAGTTGAACCTATTAAAGATAACCAAGAAAGGAGGGGAAAAAAACCCAAACCTTGAACGTTTCAAGCAGCAATAGTTGCAAAACCTAGATCATCAGCTTGTTGCTGGATTATTTTTAGAGAAATACCCAAGATGTTCAGGATCCTAAAGGCATTTGGCATCTCATCTTGCTCCTCCTCTTGCACCTGAAGGTGGCATCTGGGCATCCTGCTAGCACAGCACGTCTCATGCTATTTCTTTCTCGTGTCGTCATTGAAGAGTTTAGAGAGCTGGTGTGTGGATTTAAGTTGTAGGAAGTGCTGACATTCCCATGCAGCTGCTGTCATTGCAGAGCCCTGGTCTGATTGTATGCCAGCATTTTCACATGACAATTCTTCTCTGCCGTAATACACAAATATTAAGCTGCTTGTCAGCTGGGAACTGTAGGCTGGCATTTTGGAGGTCAAATCTCCATTAAAATATGAAACATTTAGACTAAAATAATGTGTTCTGCTAAGGAAATGTTGCTACAACCAGAAAGTGCATGTTTGTTGCAATATGAAATTGGAAAATGTTGTTATGCCTTTTGGAGGGAAAAAAATAAATACATTTGAAATGGGTAACTTGCTTCCAAAAACCAAGGAGCTGAACTTTGAATGGCTTGTTTGGGTTATAGCAGTGCCCAGAAGTTCCAACCTGAGATGAGATCAAGACTACGGAGATAGGTGCTGCATATAGCTATAGTACGGAGATAGAGCAGACTATGTATAGGAGAAGGGAAGCTTTATTCCCCTACTCCTGGTTCTTACTGGTGGGAGACCTCCAGTATAGAGGCCCAGCAGAAACAGTAGCAAAGTTGGAAATTGAACTCGGGTGTTGATTCCCAATCAAATGCTTAAACCACAAAACCAGCCTCCATCTCAGATCTTCCTTCTGAAGTGGGGGTGGAATAGTTCAGCTGATTTAGGAGCCAGGCTGAATTAAAATGTCAGTCCTCTTGATACTGCTCATTATTTGGAAAAGGGGTGTGTGTGGAATAAATAACAGCATTTTGTTTGTTTGCTTAAGGGTAGGAATTTCTTCAGCTGTATCTTGCCCTAGCCCTTTTTGTTGCAGTTCAAGGAAGGACTGCATACTTTTGATAAGAGTAAGATGATGTGGTGGTTCAGTACTCCTGGAAAGAGAGTATTCCTATTTCCATCTGTACACTTTTATTACTTCCCTTGTACCATCTCTGGCACTTGTCCGGCCCCTTTGTTGAGCCAGTTCATGTTACTGGAGGGTTTCTGTTGACACTGCAAAGCATCCAGGGAGTCATGGAGTCAGAGCAGGGGAAAGGGTGTCGTGTGCCTGGGAAGAGGGACGTAAGAGCAGGACTGCCCCTTTTTGGCAGGAGTGAGCTGCTATACAGCTGGCTTTGTAGAACTGAGCTGTATCCCACAATTCTAGCATTTTGGGCCTTCTGTGCTTTCTTTTTCTCATTTGCTCCCTGCTTTGATTTCTTGCTGTTTCCTTTGCTCTCAACTGGTTTGCCAGTCTAGGCTATTCATGGTTTGGTTTACCTGGAATCCTCCTAAAAGCTCATTTCTGCCATGTTACCTGTGGAGAGGATGAAAGAAGGGATATCATCTTTACCAAACTGAGATGTGTGCTATGCTGATGAGTAACAACAGACTTCATGTTTCTTCCTTCTGTTTCTCTCTAGCAGCCTTACTTATACAAATGACTTGGCAGTGGTGCATGTGTCCAGGGTTCATTTGGCCCTAGTTGCTTGAGAACCTAGGAGGAGAGAACTGAACCAAAATCTTCCAAGTCCCGTGCTGGCATTTCCACTAGAACCTCCTTCCCTTCCTCAGGGTTTGACTTAGCGCAATCACTGTGCTGCTGTTTTCTTGCGAAGGATTTATCAATGGCAGTGCAAATTTCTGTGCTGCTCTTGTAAATTTACTGTAGCCATGTGACAAAGCTCTTTGAGGCTTTGAGTGCTGTACGTTGGCAGTCTTGAATAGCTTTAAGGCCATGGGCATGAGCCCAGCATCCACTCTGGATGGTGATCACCAAGTGACTTCCCAGTGATAATGGCTTTCAGTTGGAATTCACTTGACCCACAATTGAACCAGTGACCTAGAGGTGAAAGGCTCAGGCATTGTATCAAATTACTAATCATCCAAACCATCTACATCTTTCAAGCTGTTGATTATAGAAACTGTTCAATTTCTTGAGGTATCTTCTATGCCATGTGTAGATAATTGGGAATGTTGTGCTAAACTATGGAGCTTGCTGGCTGACCCTGCTTGCTCATAATTACGTGAGATATAGTGTGTCACTATCGAGAGACATCAAAAGAATGTCACTTAACCTATTAATCTGGATGCATCTGCAGATTCCTTATAATAAAGGTAATTGTACATTGGTGCCTTTTAAGTTATCAAATGATCGGAAAATTTTTTGTGTACCTGAGAATTCGAACAGTCTCTGTAGTCTTTGTGCATTAGATAGTCTAATGAAATGGAATGACTTAATTTCTAACCTTATCTTAATATGTATGTGTTTAGTCTAATTTAATTTTATAGGAATCACTGTGTTCTTAGCTGTAACTGCTACTTGAAAAGGTCAATGTGTTACGAATAATATTATGATTATTCATGTGTATCATTATCAGTATCACAAAATAGGATGCAAAACTCAAATTTTCATCTCCTACATATGTATGAAACTAAAGGAACTCTGCTGGCTTCTGTTGAAGTTTGCAGTGATTTAGCAGACTGTGTCTTGCTTTACAGGGAATATTTAAATAAGTTCTGTTATTGCAATGTTTATATCTGGTGCTAGAAGGGAGAGAGAACATAAGAGTAGTATTTCTTTGTCATAGTCATGTGTGCCAACCTAATACTTTCTGTCTTTCTAATATTTATGCAGTATTTAACTTGACCAACAATGTGGATTTGGAGAACACCAAAAGGAAAATGGAACTGTACCAGAAGGATAACAAAGAAGTCATTCAGAAAAATAAGATAAAACTGGTTAGTTAACTTCTCTCCCCTACAATTTTTATTCATTAGTTAAAGAATGAAAGGATTTTTGAAGTGGAGTACTTTCTGTAATATCATAAAACAAGTCAAAACTGAAGGCGCTATGCAGATTTCACTTTGTATTCAAAAACCATAATATGCTCATATTCTGCAATACTGATATTTAGTGCTGCTTAAAGAGATTAAATTGATAGTTGAAATGTAGTTACGCTTTATTTTGGGAAGGGCTTAAAAAGAAGGACAGGCAGTAAAGTCTGCATCTAATACATCACCACCGCATGTGTGCTGGCAGTGCCGTTGGACAATATCCAGGAGAGACCAAGTTCAGTCCTATACCAGGACAATCATTCCTTTCTCATCCGAAGGAAAAAAGGAATCCAGACACGGACATTATGAAGCTCCCAGGAGAGGGTTGTAAAATTGAGGGAAAGCACAGGTCTGGTTTATACAAAATTTAAAATGAAAGATGTTGAAACAAACATTAAAACTTTTGTTCAAGAGCTGATAATATCAGGAGTATTGTATACATGATCTGTATGCAAAACACGTGGTTCTTTGAAGATTTATTAGTTTAAAATATGGCTCAGATATAATTTTGTTCTTTAAAAATAAACTTGCAAGCATTTCTTTCTGTAAGAAGAGTTTAATCTGTTAAATATTTTTCAATATAAAAATACACATTGTTATCGGTTCTTGAAGGAAAATGTCTGCCCAGAGTGTGACATAACAAGGTTTTATGTTTGTATTCCAGTTGCACTAAGGACTTGCTTTCAAATCAGTAGGGGTGAAATCCTCACTCCCCTGAAGTCTGTGGCAAAACTCCCAGTGATTTCTTTAGCTCTAGGATTTCACAGGAGGAGATTGGAATCTGAAAAATGTTTGTTTGAACCTCTTCCTTTTAAAGGCAAGGAAATTTCCCTAGGGGTCCATCTCTGATCTGTTATCCTGTCTCTGACACTGTGCAATAACCTATGCTTCAGAGCTTGAAGAGACCTGCCAAATCTTTGGCTACATGTCTTATTTTACAATGTAGGTGCAACCTCTAGGGTCACCATGAGAATAGTGTGCTTTGCCTGCAGCCCACCTTCCGTTCATGTACGTGACTCGCAGACAGCCTGTGCACTAGTTGTGTGATCATATCAAGCAGCACAATACTTTGTACCCACCCAAGCCCCCTGGGCCTTCTGTTTTCTGTACTGCATGGTCTTGCTGTGCTAGAGGTTGTCTGGTGGAAGCTGGACAAGCCTGCGTGAATCCAGACTTACTGGAGATCTGGAGACATTTCTTTTTTATTTCTTTTTCAACAACTGAAACATAATAATAGACTTGATGCAGTTGCTATTACAAAAACTACATGATCTTGCCCATAAATTTACCCCTCTCCCAAAAGCTGAAAGGGTGCTTTCTCTCTCTAGCTCTTTTGGGCAGGTTTTGGAATGTCTTTACTCCTTAAATGGTAAAAGGTGTCCTAATTTCTCACCTAAACTTCTTATGGCCAGTCATTGTTCCTTCGTTCTTGGACTGACATAAATTTTTCTGACGACTGTAATAGTTTACTTCTGAGGAATATAGATATTCTCTGTCCCTCTTGGTGTTTTTGTTACCCTTCGCCTGTTCCGGTTTGAATTTGTGTTTGGCAGGCAGAAGGGACCAGAGTTGAATGCAGTATTGTAGCTGAGATCTTAACAGCTCTTATAAAAGAACGCTGTTTTCCCATCTCTACTGGAAATACATTGACATGCGTGATCCTAAGACAGTTCTTCTCCTGTAGTACTGTCATACGGGCGTGCAGAATCAGTAGAATCATAGAATCGTAGAATCATTAAGGTTGAAAAAGACCTCTAAGATCATCGAGTCCAACCATCAGCCCAACACCACCATGCCCACTAAACCATGTCCCTAAGCACCGTATCTACACATCTTTTAAATACTTCCAGGGATGGGGACTCAACCACTTCCCTGGGCAGCCTGTTCCAATGTTTAACCACTCTTTCAGTAAAGAAACTTTTCCTCATGTCCAATCTAAACCTCCCCTGGCGCAACTTGAGGCCGTTTCCTCTCGTCCTATCGCTTGTTACTTGGGAGAAGAGACCGACACCCACCTCGCTACAGCCTCCTTTCAGGTAGCTGTAGAGCGCGATGAGGTCTCCCTTCAGCCTCCTGTTCTCCAGGCTAAACAACCCCAGTTCCCTCAGCCACTCCTCAGAAGACTTGTTCTCCAGACCCTTCACCAGCTTCGTTGCCCTTCTCTGGACACGCTCCAGCACCTCAACGTCCTTCTTGTAGTGAGGGGCCCAAAACTGAACACAGTATTCGAGGTGCGGCCTCACCAGTGCCGAGTACAGGGGCACTATCACTTCCCTACTCCTGCTGGCCACACTGTTTCTGATACAGGCCAGGATGCCATTGGCCTTCTTGGCCGCCTGGGCACACTGCCGGCTCATGTTCAGCCGGCTGTCGACCAACACCCCCAGGTCCTTTTCCGCCAGGCAGCTTTCCAGCCA